TCCCTAGTGATACCGCCTAGGATTTTGGTCTGACTTGAGGGCACATAACAAAAACAACAAACAATAAAAAATATGTGTCAGCTTGGCTGGGCCGGGATTCTGGAGTTTGTGTGGCTGCCCTCCTTTCTGTGATGTGTTGTAAATCCTGACTTGCACGTGTTAACAGGGCAGGGTCAGGCTGTGTTAATGAGGATTCAGTTGTATCGGTTAAATTAAAGAAGTGGGATCAGGCCCAGGTCACAGTAAGGGGAGTTTCCCTGTACGTAAGGGGTGTGGCCTCTATCACCTTTTATCTTACAGGAACTCAAAGAAGAGAGAGGCAGGGAGGGAGGGACCTCAGTGCCACCAGGAAGGAAAGCCGGAAGCAGAGTGTGACTTCTGGACGCAGGATCCCTGCGCTGAGAACCTCCTAGACCCCGGGGGAAGACTGATGCCTGGACACATGAAGTTCTCCAAGGGAGTCTGAGCCCACAGACGTTGAAAGGGGCAAGGACCTCCCTCCAAAGCCTGCAGACAGAGCCCTTCCCTAGAGCGGGAACCCTGTGTTCAGACTTCTAAACGCCTGACTGTGACAGAACAAACTTGTTTGTTAAAGCCACCCGCGTGTGGCATTTCCAAGAGACCAACACTGGTCTAACAGGCAGAGCCCCACGGCCCATCAGAGGCTGTGCGGGGCCAGGATACTGTGGCCCTGCCAGTCCCTGCCGGCTCCCCAGCGCCAGACCTCTGCTGCTGCGCAGAGCAGGGTGACCTGGCCCACCTCACAGCGGGAGGAGAGAGTGGTTCCCACATCCCAGGCCTGGGCAACACCCCAGCTGCTGGGCCGGGCAGGGAGACGGAGGCCCAGATGGAAGGGGCCGCAACTCAGACCCACAGCCTTCCCGTTCGCTCCTCCACCTGGCTAGCTCCTGTGCAGTCTTGAAAGCCCATCCCAGATGCCCTTCCCTTGGGAGCCAGTCCAGCCACAGTGTGAGTGTCCGAGGGCAGAGTGGCAGGTGGCATGCGACCAAAGTGAGGGTGCTCTTCCTACAGGCCCCACGAGGGCAGGGTCTGCTGGGGGCCCGCAGGACGGGAGCTGAGGGCAGGCCAGGCACGCTCAGGGTCGGAGGCATGGTCCTGTGACCCTGGCTGCTCTCCCTGCAGTGTGTCCCCTCCCGCGAGGCACCAGCCGTGCTCTGAGGAAGCACTGGTTGTCCCCTTTTACAGGAGGGGACTCTGAGGCCCAGAGAGGTCAGGGACTCGCGGAGTGACGGAGCCGGAGGCACTGCAGCCCAGGCCCAGCGCGGAGCAGCGGCCTCCCTCTCGGGCCTGCCCAGGTCACGAGGGGAGGGAGACACACACCTGAGCTTAAGGGACAGTAAGCTGGAAGAGCTGTCGGAGCCGTCGTCTTCACAGCGGCCTTCGTAGGAGAACTGGCCGTACGGTAAGTACAGGGGGGCGGACTTAGCAGACGGCGACAGGGACGCCTCAGTCTGGGACGTGGAGGGCCCCGGCTGCTGGCTGTCTGCCAGTTTCCCGTCACAGGACTCGGGAACCTTGGCCAGGATCCTATCAATGGCTAGGAAATAGGGCCAGTCGGGCGGGACGGACTCGCTATCTGTCATGCATTTTAATTTCCTGAAACGAGAGACACAAGAGCCAAGCGTGAGACACAGAGTGGGCCGGGGTGCCGTGCGGGGTCACAGGCTGGGGGCCCGCAGTGACATCAGGCTTCAGGAGAAGCCCGGCTTGGGGCCTGCCCACTTTAGATGTTAAAGGCCAGGAAGCAGAGGCCCCAAGTATAATGAGCGCTCTTTAAATGGGGTGGGGGGGAGGTCTTAGGCTGATCCCTGTGGCCTTTCTTGCTGCGCCGTGCAATGGACATCTACTGTTTGTTAAACACGTTAACCAGCAATGGCAAACTATTACGGTGTACTATAATATGGGATGTAATGAAAATATAATAAAACTATCACAATGCCAGAAACCGTTTTTCTAAAGAGCACCTCTGAGAGGCGAGGATGACGGGTTAAACGCGGGCTTTTGTGTCCAACAGGGTCTGAGTCTGCTTCTCGGCTCTACCACTCGCTGTGTGACCTTGGGCAGGTTCCTTACCCTCTCTGAGCCTCAGTTTTCAAATCAGTAAAAGCGGGATAATCAAAGTGAGTCCCTCACAGGGCGGGTTTCATAGAGTGATGCCTGGTATCTGGCAAACAGACCTGGGGCGGGAGTTAGCAGCAGCAGCGTAAAGTGTCTTGGTGGAAGGTAGCGGGAATCTATGTTCTGACGACCACACTGGTGCTGATGTTGCTGTTGACACTGGTCCAAGCAGGAACCTGATCCAGCACAAAAAACGGCTGCCCCCCCCCCCCAAAAAAAAAAAAAAACCTCACTGCCGTCAAGTCGATTCTGACTCCTAGCGACCCCTCCTGGGGTTTCTGAGGTGGTATCGCTATGGAAGTAGATTGCCCAGTCTTCCTTCCAAGGAGTGGCTGGTGGGTTTGAACCGCCAGGCTTGTGGTTAGCAGTCAGAGGCTTTAGGCATTATGCCCCCAGAGTTCCCCTTTGCCCAATAGCCTTAATATATAAAGAGCTCTTGCAAAAAAATAAGAAAAGCTCTGGGGAGGGCATCTTGGGTATAAAAGAAGAACACCTTGAACAATCAATGTGTCTGCCTGTTAGGGGGCTGCGCAGCCTTGGGCAAGCCCCTTCCCCACTCTGGGCCTCGGTTTCCCCTCGGGAGCGGTGAGGGCCCCCGTGCTTCCCACAGTGTGGCGAGCATGCCCTTGCCTCCCTGCCGCACCCTCACCTCCTAGTGGTCCTCGGCCCAGCCTCCAGGGGCAGAAACAGAACCCCTCCCCTGGGGCGGGAGGGAGGCCTTCAGGATAATACCCGGCAGCCACCCAGCCCCAGCCAGAGCCAGAGGGGAGGTGGCTGCCATCAGCGACTGTGTCAGGGCCTCCGGTGAAGGAGCCCAGTGCCCTCCCATCACTGAAGCCCCTTCCTCACCAGGTGCTGAGGGCTGAACAGCTTGAATGGGAGCCTGGGGGCCAGGGAGGTTTGGAGGCTGGGGGTCTGGGGACCAGGGGCTAGGGAGGCTAGAGAAGCTCGGGGGCTGGGTGGCTGGGGACCAAGGGAGGGGGGCAGATGCCAGTGGGCTGGGGGCCAGTCGACTGGGGACGCTGAGGGGCTGGGGGCCAGGGGCCACGGGGCTGGAGGCCCAGAAGGCAGCAACTGTGGATGCATGTCCATCTTTCCCACTCAGATCAGGAGCCGGTGGCGGCTCAGATCCCCGGTGACTGTCACAGTGACAACACCTCGGACGCACAGTGGCCGCCACATTCCCAGCTCGAGGGCTGGGCTGGGGGCAGGCTGGGGACCGCAGACAGTCAGGAAGACTTAAGTAAACACAGCTATAACCAGAAGCTCATGGCCTCGGGGGTGTCTGGCGCCTCGGAGCCCCGTCTGTCTCTCACAGGGGGGCCAGCACCCTGCCTGTGAGAGCCTGGCTTGGGGAGCCAGGCAGGCTGCCACCCGGCCCTGCTGTGAGGTGCAGGACAGTGCAGGACCCCTCGCTCCTCACAACCCCTCCGCGATTACGACCCCTTCCTGCTCCTGTGACCTCCGTACATTTGTGACCCCTCCACGCCCTCGCGACCTCTCCACGCCCTCATGACCTCCATGTGACCTCTCACTCCTGACACCTCCACGCCCTGGGGCCCCTCCACGCCCTCGCGACCTCTCCACACGACCTCCTCTCTGGATGAGCCTGCGCCCCGTGCACTGGGAGGCGCTGGCCCACAGGGGCCCTACCCCAGCAGCCCCTCAGCCTTCTCCTTCTGGGGAGTCCTGGGGGCAGGTGGGTCGCCTCTTCCTTCCCTACAGCGCCCCCGTGAGCTGGCTGCCACAGGCCTGTGGTGGTCCCAGCCCGGGGCCAGCCCTGTGTGCTGTTGTGCCGAGAGCCTCAGACCTCCCAGGATACCCGGGACCTCCTCCTGACGTCCAGCCTCAGTTTCCCCACCTGTGCAGGGGTGCCCAACCCCTGTGGTGGGGGCAGAGCCGGCCCTGGGCGGTGGCCAGCAGTCCCAGGCCGGGAGGCTGGGGATCCGGACGGGGTGTGGCCGGCTGGTGGCACCTTCTCCACGGCAGCATCCGTGTGCTTCCCTGGCCGGCCCTGAAGAGGCCCAGCCCCGGCCCCAGCCCCTCCACCACGAAGCCCTCTCTGGGCCCTCAAGCCTGTGAGGCTGTGTGAAGGGCTTCTGTGGGCCTGTCTCACACGGGCTGACGGCACCAGCAGGTGGATGGCCAGTCCTGGGGACCCTTCACCCTTCCCAACTCTAAGAACACAGATAGTGAGGCCCTGCCTCTGTCCGGGGCTGCTTCCTGACTCGGTTGACCCCATCTGGGCTGGTGCCACGTAGCCACATCCGGGCTGGGCCCATAGAGGTCACCCCACCCGGACTGGCCTCACCTGGGACTGCACCCTGTGGCCACATTGGGGCTGGCCAGGCCGGGTGGACGCCCCACCTGCACTGGCCTCTGCTGGGACTGTACCCTGTGGCCACAATGGGGCTTGCCAGACGCCCCACCTGCACTGGCCCCGTCAGGGCTGGCTGGGCCGTGTGGACACCCCACCTGGACTGGCCTCTGCTGGGACTGCACCCTGTGGCCACATCGAGGCCGGCCGGGCCGTGCAGATGCCCCACCTGTCTTGGCCCTGTCAGGCTGTGTGGACGCCCCACCTGCACTGGGCCCTGCTGGGACTGTACCCTGTGGCCACGTCGGGGCTGGCCTGGCTGTGCAGATGCCCCACCTGCGTTGGCCCCGTCGGGCCGGGCGGACGCCCCACCTGTACTGGAAGGTCATGTTGGTGATCTTGATCTTGATCTCCTCGCCCAGGCGCCGCTCCCCGGTCATCTCGAAGAGCTTGCTGGCCATCTTCTCGTAGACCTTGGCGTTGCGCTTGGTCTGCTTGAGCTCGTCGAAGAACTCCTCCCAGACGAGCATGAGGCCGCGCATCTCCGCGTCCGTCCAGTTGCGCGCCCGTCGGTGCTTCTCCGTCTGAGGGGACACGAGATAGCCGGGCATTTCGGCCGCCGCCATGCTGGAGGCACCTGCAGGGTTCAAAGGGCACCCTCAGGCCAGGCCCCCGGCCCCTGGGCCCGTGGCTCTGCCCACCATGGGCGGCAGCTGAGCGGCCGTGGGCGCTCGGCTCGAAGGCGGCTCCACGCTCAAAATGGGGCCTACGTCTGACAGGCAGGAATTTAGTTAAAAGCTTTTAAACGGGAAACGTCATTTTGATGTCACGTTTCCATAGCAACAGAGCAACTGCGAGAGCTACAACAACAGAAAGCTTTTAACTGAAAGCGCAGGAATCAGGACAGCTCTGACGGGCCATCAATATTGCAGGAGGCGGTGGCTCTGGCCCGCGGCGGCCCCCGCCAAGACCCTCCGCTCTGGGCCAAGGCCTGGAGACAGCCGTGGTGGGGACAGGGGGCAAGCAAGAGAGAGATGGGGTGGGGTAGGGACGGACGGACCAAGGTAGGTAGGCCTGCCTGCCGACAGTGACCCCACCTGCCACCCCCTGCACGGCCCCACGGATGGTCACGTGTGATGTCCCTGGCCGACCCACGTGCAGTCCATGATGAACACAGGCCTAGGGCTGCACGGGTCAGCAGACCCCGCTCTGTCTTGTTTCTCTCCTTGCAGCCAGGCAGGCGCCCTGGAGCACACAGCAGTCAAGGGGAGCTGTGTCCCCCCCCCAGGCAGCCCCGTGCACAGCGGGGGGAGCTGGTGGTGCCGCCTTCATCCCTGGAGCCCCAGGGCGCAGGGCCGGGTAGAGCTGAGGACAGGAAAGGCCTGGGTAAAACAGGCACGTGGCCCTGAGTAAGGTCTGGCCCAGCTGTGGTGCCTCCAGGACACGCAGGCGCCTGGGAAGTACCCCAGGGGACACCTCCCTCTTGCAGTGCAGTCTGGGTGCAGCCACGTACACGCAGGCCAGACACATATGTGCTCTGGGCACCTACAGGCCAGAAACACGCAGACCCAGAGGCCAGGCACACACAGGCTAGAGACACACGTACACCGAGTATATGCACACATTAGGCACATGCAGACCAGGGACAGTCACACACCAGGCAGGGCAGACACACACACACGGGCACACGCAGGCTGAGTATACACAATCAATGGGCACATGCACGCCAGGGACATGCACACACCAGGCACATGCAGGCTGGACGCACACACACCTAGAGACCAGGCACACGCAGGCCAGGGACAATCACACACCAGGCAGGACACACACACACGGTGGGCACATACAGGCAGGGCACACACAGACCCTGGGGCCATTCTCATGTAGGCCAGTCACATACACACACAGGCCACATACAGGCCAGGCACACACAAGATGGGCACACACACACAGAGGTCAAGTACACATAGGCTGGGCACACACACACATGCTGGGCACATGCACACGTTAGGCCCATGCAGGCCAGGCATCCCCCGAAGCTGGGCACACACAGGCCAGGGGCACTCACACACCAGGCACATGCAGGCCGGGCACATGCAGGCCGGGCACACACATGCTGGGCACGTGCAGGCTGGCACGCACACACCAGGCACACACATGCCGGGCACACACATGCTGGGCACACGCAGGCCAGGGGCACGCACACACCAGGCACACGCACTAGGCCTCCAGTGCAAATCACCACATAACCTGGCTGAATGCCCCCAGTTTCTGGGGGTTGCAAGGAGGCAGAGCGCCTGTGTAGCCCTAATGCTGGTCCCGGGTAGGTGGCACTGGCTGAGGTCCTGGGCTGTGGGGTGCTTGCCTTGCTCTCAGGGGCCTCTGCAGGCCCCCCAGGGGCCCCGCCGTCCTCTGCTCATCACCTGGCGCTGCCCCCGCCCCCACGCCCAGCCTGGTTCTGATGCTGGAGCACGGAGTGAGCAGCACGGCGCCCCGCTGACGGGGCGGCCTGAGGAGCGGACGGCCCGAGCTCCCAGCGGCGCAGCTGTTCGAAGGACAGCTCGGCTGGGACACGCGGACGCGGCCCTGCCGTGTGACGGGTTTCCAGAGACGCAGTCGGGTGGGCAGAGCCAGGGACGCCAGGGGCTGCCGGGGGCAGAGGCAAGGAGGTGGGAGTCCTGAGAGCCGCTCGGAGCAGGGCGTGCGGGTGGCAATGCCAGGCTGCGGGCTGACCAGGCCTCGCCCAGTGGGAAGCAGCCCTGCCCGGGAGCCGGCCTGAGGCTGCACCACAGAAGGGCATCACCGTCCAGAAGTGAGACTGGGAGCTGAGAACTCTGCTACCCACTGAGGCGAAGGCCAGGGGAACATGACAAGTCTCCTGGCAGGCCCTGGCACGGGCCGTGGGCCAGCCCGGCGTGTCCAAGGGTCCCCTGGGGCCTGGGAAAGGCTGGTTCAGCTATACCTGCACCCAGGCAGGACCCACAGAGGACAATGGGGCCCACTCTCCTCCCGGCTGACCTTGAGGACAGAGCTGCCCAGGACAGGAAGCTGGGCCAGAGCTGGAGGTGGCTCTGAGTCCCGGCCTGGCTGTCCCTGCGTCCCCATGTGTTGCTGGACACGTCCCCTGAGCAGAGTGTGACCCTGTGGGGGGAGAGAGGGCAACTTGGCAAAGGCTCAGGGGTACCAAGGGGGGCAGGGCTGGGTGCCCGGGCCCCCTGCAAGGCCCAGGGTGAGGACGGGGCTCCCACGGCAGTGCCCAGGTTAAGGAGGGGGCTGTCTGGGGCGCAGCACTCATCCTGGGGAGGGAGGGCCCTTGCAGCACAGTCAAAATGGCAGAGTAGATGGGAGGGAGGCAGGAGGGGCCCCCAAGGGGGTCAGGGAGCTCACAAGGGACCCTACCCTCCTTCCCCAAGTTCAAGGGTGAAGCTGTTCAGGACAGAGATGGGGCAGAGGCCTCACTTCCTGTGGGACCAGCCAAGGCCCCGCCTCTGGCCTCAGCTGTCCTGCTCCAGGTGGGCAGCACTCCTCAGGGAAATGCCTGGCCAGGGTGCTCCTCCCAGGACGGCCCCCAAACCTCCCCTGCCCAGGCCAGGTGGAGGTCACATGAGCAGGAGCTGGGGCTCGCTACTGTCCCCAGAGTCCAGCACAAGGTCTGGGACTGAGCTGCACTCGGAGTGAGCAGCATCAATGACGCCAGAGAAGAGCTGCCTCCTCCAGGGAGCCCTCCTTGCTCTGCAGGCAAAAGGATTTCACCCCAAGGGTCCTACTGCTGACACTTGGCCCCACCTGGGATCCAGGCTCTCCTACCACCCTTGCCCAACTCCACAGTGACCTCTAAGGGTGGGGCAGGGCTCCTCCCTGCCTCCCGGCACTCAGGGTGGAGGGGCCTTGTAAGGAAGAGGCTGGCAGAGGTCAGGGACAAGGGGGAGCAGGGCTTGGGGTGCAGGCAGCCTAAGTTCTTATTAACCTCTCTTTTTACCATGGTAAAATGGACCACTGTCATTATTTGAGCACATCATTGGGTGACATTAATCATGCCAAGTTGTGTAACTGCTTAGCTATTTCCATCATTCCAAAGACATCCTTATCCAGTAAGTAACTCCACGTTGGCCTCTTCGACCGGCCCCTGGCAACCTCGACCATCATCTAACTGGAGCCCTGCTGGTGTGGTAGGTAAGCATGTGGCTGCTAACCAGAAAGTTGGTGATTTGAACCTACCAGCCACTCTGCAGAGGAAAGATGTGGCAGTGAGCATCCCAAAGATGACAACCTTGGAGACCCTTGGAGACTCTGTCCTCTAGGGGCGCTGTGGGTCAGAATGGACTCCATGGCAGTGGGTGTGGTTTGGGCTTTGCTTCTGTGAAGACTGACAGCCTGGGAGACCCTGTGGGCAGTTCCACTCTGTCCTCTAGGGGCGCTGTGGGTCAGAATGGACTCCACGGCAGTGGGTGTCATGTTTTCTTTGATACTTCCTTTAAGTGGAATCATACACTGCACTTACCATCATGTCACCATGTCATAGCCTGTAACAGAACTTCATTTCTCGTTACAGCTGCATGACATGCCATCGTGTATCTGTATTACATTTTGTTTATCCATTCATCTGTTGATGGCCACTGGGCTGTTTCCCCCTTTAGGCCACTGTGAAGAGTGCTGCAAGGACCCCTGGGGGTGCACATCTGTCTGAGTCCCTGTGTTGAATTCTTTTGCGTATATGCCCAGGAGAGAACGCTGAATCACATGGGAATCTATGTTTAACCTGATGAGGGATGGCCAGGCCGTTTTCCACTGCAACTGCACCATTTTTACATTTGACTCAGAAGGTACAAGGGTTCCTTTTCCCCATAGCCTCACCAACACTGTTTTCCACTTGTTTGTTTGTATACCACCCTATCGGGTGTGAAGTGGCACCTCACCGGGGTTCTGATTTGCATTCACCTGATGGTTGATGATGTTGGGCATCTTCCCATGTGCGTCTTGGCCAGTTGTCTATCTGCTTTGGAGACATGCCGCCTCTTTTGCCCATTTCTAAATTGGTTATTTATTTGTTGCTGAGTTGTGAGAGTTCTTCTATCTTCCAGTTGTAAATCCCTTACCAGATAGATGATTTGCAAATATAGTCTCTCACCTGGGTTTTCTTCACACTCTCTTAATTAATGAAAGAAAACTCACCTGTTCTTTTCTTGATGAAGATATGTATCCACCACTCGTCTGTCAGTGTGTCCTAATGTGGTGGCTGAACTGTGTTGCTGTGATGTTGGACGCTATGCTACCAGTATTCCAAATACCAGCAAGGTCACCTGTGGTGCACAGGCGTCTGTGGAGCTTCCAGACTAAGACTGGGCAGAAGAAGGTGGCCAGGTAGAATATGGAAAAAACTGGTCCCTGAGCACCTTATGAATAGCCATGAAGCACCACCTGATCAGTGCCAGATGAGCCCCTCGGGCTGGAAGGCACTAATATGACTAGGGAAGAGCTGTCTCCTCAAAGTTGTTGTTATGTGCCGTCAAGTCGGACTGACTCATAGCGACCCCTCCTTGGGTTTCCGAGGCAGTATCTCTACGGAAGTAGATTGCCCAGTCTTCCTTCTGAGGAGTGGCTGGTGGGTTTGAACCGCCAGCCTTCTGGTTAGCAGTCATATGCCTTAGGCACTACACCACCAGAGCTCCTCCTGAAAGTAGAGTTGGCCTTAATGACGTGGATGGAGTAAAGCTTTTGGGATCTCCATTTGCTGATGTGGCACAACTCAAAATGGGAAGAGTAGCAAACATCCATTAAAAATCAGAATGTGGAATGTACTAAGTATGGATCTGAGAAAATTGGAACAAAAATGAAATGGAACACATAAAGGTCGATGTCCTAGGCATTAGGGCGTGAAATGGACTGGTGCTGGCCAATTCGAACCAGACCATCAGATCATCTGCTATGCTGGGAACGACACGTTGAAGAGGAATGGTGTCATATTCATCGTCACAAAGAACATTTCCAGATCTGTCCTGAACTACAAAACTGTCAGTGATAGGATAGTATCCATATGCCTACAAGGAAGACCAAGTTACTACTACTATTATTCAAATTGAAGCACCAACCACTAAAACCAAAGGTGAATAGAAGATATTCACCAACTTCTGCAGCCTGAAATTGGCCAAACATGCAATCAAGATGTGTTGATAATTACTGGTGATTGGAATGTGAAAGCTGAAACAAAGAACCAGCATCAGTAGTTGGAAAATATGGCCCTGGTGACAGAAATGACACCAGAGACCACGTGACAGAATTTCGCAATACCAACAACTCACTCATTGCAAGCACCTTTCTTCCACAACACACACAGCAGCTGTACACGTGGACTTTGTCAGATGGAGTATACAGGAATCAAACTGACTACAACTGTGGAAAGAGGTGATGGAGAAGCTCAGTATCATCAGTCAAAACGAGGCCAGGAGCTGACTGTGGAACAGACCAACTGCTCATATGCAAGTTCAAGTTGAAGCTGAAGAAAATTAAAACAAGTCCACGAGAGCCAAAATATGACCTTGATAATATCAAACCTGAATTTAGAGACCATCTGAAGAACAGATTTGACACACAGAACACCAGTGACTGAAGACCAGATGAGTTGTGGGATGATACCAAGAACATCATCCACGAAGAAAGGAGGAGGACATTAAAAAGACAGCAAAGGAAGAAAAGACCAAAATGGATGTCAGAAGACACTCTGAAACTTGCTCTTGAATGGAGAGTAGCTAAAGCAAATGGAAGAAATGATGAAATAAAAGAGCTGAATAGAAGATTTCAGAATAGCTCCAGAAGACAAAGTAAAGTATTGTAATGAAATATGCAAAGATCTGGAATTAGAAAACCAAAAGGGAAGAACATGCTCAACATTCCTCAAGCTGAAAGAACTGAAGAAGAAATACAAGCCTCAAATTGCAATACAGAAGGATTCCATGGGCAAAATATTGAATGACGCAAGGAGCACCCAAAGAAAATGGAAGGAACACACAGAATGATTGTACCTTCAAAAAGAACTGGTTGATGTTCAACCATTTCAAGATGTAGCTTATGATCAAGAACTGATAGAACTGAAGGAAGAAACCAAGCTGCACTGAAGGAATTGGTGAAAAACAAGGCTCTGGGAATTGACAGAATACCCACTGAGATGTTTCAACAGATACAGTGCTGGAGGCGCCTACTCATTTATGCCAAGAAATTGGGAAGACAGCTATCTGGCTAACCGGTTGAAAGAGATCCATATTTGTACCCATTCCAAAGAAAAGTGATCCAACAGACTGGAAATTAATGAACGGCATCAGTACCACACACAAGTAAAATCTTGCTGAAGGTAATTCAAGAACGGGTGCAGCTGTATATTGACAGCGAACTTCCAGAAATGAAAGTTGGATTGAGAAGAGGATGTGGAACAAGGGATATCATTGCTGATGTCAGATGGATCTTGGCTGAAAGCAGAGAACACCAGACAGATGTTTACCTCTGTTTTATTGACTATGCAGAGGCATTTGATTGTGTGGATCATAACAAATTATGGATAACATTATGAAGAATGGGAACTCTTGAACACTTAATTGTGCTCATGAGGAAACTTACATACACCAAGATAGAGTTGTCCAAACAGAACAAGGGGACACTGTATGGCTTAAAATCAGAAAAAGTGTGTGTCAGGGTTGTGTCCTTTCACTATACTTATTCAATCTGTGTGCTGAGCAAAAAACCCAAGAAGCTGGACTATATGAAGAACACGGCATATTAGACAAAGACTCATGAACAACCTGTAATATGTACACAACACAACCTTGCTTGCCGAAAGAAGATGACTTGAAGCACTTACTGCTGATGAAGACTGAATGCAACAGTCTGTGGTATGAATTACACCTCAACATAAAAAAAAAAAAAAATCCTCACAAGTGGACCAATAAGCAACATCACGATAAATGGAGAAAAGATTGAAGCAGTACTCAAGAAATCAGCCATCGTGGGCAAATCTGCTGCAAAAGACATCTTTAAAGTGTTGAGGAGCAAAGATGTTACTTTGAAGACTAAGGTGCGCCTGACTCAAGCCATGGTATTTTTCAAGCGCCTCATATGCATGTGGAAGCTGACAATGAATAAGGAAGACTGAAGATGAGATGATGCCTTTGAATTATGGTGTTGGCAAAGAATACTGAAAATACCATGGACTGTCAGAAGAACTCAACGGCAGTGCATTGCATTGCATTGCATTGCATTGCATTGCATCAGAAGAATGAACAAATCTGTCCCTGGAGGTGCAGCCGGAATGCTTCTTGGAAGCGAGAATGGCCAGACTTGGTCTCACCTATTTTGGTCATGTCAGAAGGGACCATTCCCTGGAGAAGGATCTCATGCTTGGGAAAGTAGAGCGTCAGTGAAAAAGGGGAAGGCCCTCAATGAGATGGATTGACACAGTGGCTAAAGCGATGGCCTCAAGCAAGGACTGCGAGGCTGGCCTAGCACTGGGCAGCATTCTCATGTACCCAGGGTCACTACGAGTCTGAATCCACTCGATGATACCTAACCACCTTCCCCACCATGTTCAGTTGAATGTATGTTCCGTGTTCTGTTTATCCGTTCATCCACTGATGACTAGATCTTTTCCATTATGGACCACTGTGGACAATGCTGCAGGGAACACTGGTGTACGTGTGATTTTTGTGTCATTGTGTTCAAGTTTCTTGAGTGTCTACATCTAAGAGGGGAAATGCTGGGTCTTGTGGTAGTTCTGCCTTTAGTTTTTTTTAGGAACTGCCAAAGTGGCTACACCATTTTGCATTTTGCATTCAGCAATGGCTGAGTCCAATTTGTCCACATCCTCACCAATGTTTGCTGTTTTTATGTTTGTTTTTTGTTTTGGTCTTAGTCATCCTAGTGGGAGTGAAGTGGTATCCTATTTCCTTAATGGCTCAAGATGTTGAGCACCTTTTCATGTCTTGTTGGCTAGCTGTGTATTTTCCTTAGTGGAATGTCTAGTTGGGTCTTTTGCCCATCTTCCAATTTGGTTGTCTTCCTGTTATTGATAGTGTGTTGACGGACATGAGTTTTTAATTTTCTTAAAGTCTAATTTATGAATTATTTTCTATTATTGCCTGTGTTTTTAACATCATGTCTAAGACTCCATTGTCATATTCAAGGTCATGAAGCTTGCTCCTGAGAGTTGTATAGCTTTATCTCTTAAAGCCTCTGATGCATTTTGACTTGATTTTTATATATGGTGTAAGATAAGGGTCAACTTCTTTTTTATGTGGATATCAAGTTATCCCAGCACCATTAATTAGAACACCATCCTTTCCCCACTGAATACTCTTGACACCTTGTCAAAAATCAATTCACCATAGACTTGGTTATTCTCTCCAGCTCATTCCTTTGGTGTATGTCTATCCTACCAGCATCACTGTCACCGTGTCTGGATTACTGATGTTGTTAGGCATCATTGAGTCAGTTACCACTCATAGTGAACTGCCCCTTTTTTTTGCCTTCCCTTTCACCCAAATTAATAACTGTTTACCCTCCACTTAGTGAATTCTCCCCCCTTCCCCACCCTGCCCTGGCAATCATCAAAGAGGCTTTCTTTTGTGTGTGTGTGTGTGAAACCCTTTTCTTGGCATTTTACAGTGGTGGTCTCATGCAGTGTTTGTCATTTTGTGATGATGAATTTCACTCCGCATAATGGCCTCTGAATTTATTCGTGTCAGGAGGTGTGTAGTGGTTCATCCTTATTCTTTACTATTGCATAGTGTCCCATTGTGGGCATGTACCACCGTTTGTTGATCCATTTCTCCACTGAGGAGTATTTAGGTAACTTCCTACATATTTTTGATTTTCCAGTTTTTGTTGCTAGTGATTTCTAGTTTTCATTTCCTTGTGACTGGGAAAAAAAAAAAAAAAAAAAACCTTTGTATGTTTTCAATCTTCTTACTTTTCTAAGA